AAGAATCAGGTACAGGATACGTTTATAGCATTCAATAGTAAAGTAAATTTTGCATCTGTTCCTGTTATAAAATACAGGGTGTTCCATTTAAATTAAGCAAGTTATTACAGTTCAAATGTGCAATTATTTGGCATGAAACAGCATCTATTACTAGCCGCAAGGTAAAGTTTGGATTTGCAATGAAAAACGTGTGTTGAGAATTTAAACTTAAAAAGAAGGTCTGCATTTTCACAAAACTCCAAATATCTCATAAACCGTAAGCTTCAAGTAAGATAAGCCTTAATGAAACTCACATTTATTTCGATCGCAGACACTAATAACATAATAATATACAGGACATGTCATTAAAAAATGCAACTTTGGGCTGAATCTAGTAATTGGGACACCCAATTACTAGATTCAGCCATTCAGGACAATGTACATTAGAAAATAATTTTAAAATGTACCCCCAACGGTCTTCCATTTATCCGTAAAATAACACTTTAAAATTAAATAGTTTAACCGCAATCTTCCATGTCGTATAATTTGAATAACCCTATATAGTAACTAACACTGAAAATTTTTGGCTACTTATTTATCATGACTTACAGAATATTACTAATATCAACGTAAGGCGGTTTCCTAACCGAGGTGATGAATGGGACAAAATGTATAGACCCCACCCGAGCGAAAAACATCCACCTAAACACAATCATGACAAAATTGTGAATTTTGTAGCAATGGGTAAGTGCATTCGTATTGTCATTTCTTTTCAATTTTCTATTCGAGTCTGCTACATGTAGCAACTAATGCCGTGATTTATACAGTACCAAGTAATATTGGAACCCTCCATTGTTCGCATCTAGAGAAGATTTGTGTAAAGCCCGCCACGTACGGACAGATATGTATACATGTGGATGGCATCCACACTTTCGATATATCAGATCCTTGCAGATTTTCAACTGTAGAGGTGGTCGCTGTGAAAGTTGAACATGACGTTGGAAAAGTCGGTGTGGTTGAGATCAGTGCCGTTTGTTTCGTTATGTGTGTATCAACGTGTGACCGATTGTTCAGTTATTTAACAATTTTAAATAGTCATATCTATTTTGCCTATAAACAGAATGTCTGTTGCGCATGATGAGGAAAATGAAACGAATGGACAGATATGTGAGAACAGTTGGAAGAGTGCATTGAGGCCTATAGAAATTGTCCTTTCTTATGGCAAACTAAGAGCAACGAATACTATGATCGCGGCAAAAAAGATGACGCTAACCAGTGTTATTGAATGAAAGTATATACGCAAATGCTACCAGATACACAGTGGCACAAAACAAGATTAAGTGCAGATTAAATGAAAATTCGAGTGCAGAAACGAAAGACATTAAATAACATTCTGTCATGCACGATGGTCCTTCGTTATTAGTCCACCGTCGTCCAATTGTCTCCAGTGTAGCCGATCCTGGGAGCCGGGGATCCAGTTTTTCCCGGCCTGTCTCTGGATGTCGTCCTTTGACCTCCTCTGGGGTCGCCCAACACTTCTTTTTGTTTCCCTAGGTCGCCTTTGGAGGATGGCCTTGGCCCCCTTGACATCGTCCCTCGCCACATGTCCAGCCCATGTCCAGTTATTCCTTGCCACCGTTTCCATGACGTCTGAGACTCCCGTCCTTCTCCTAATGTCATCGTTCCTTAGTCTGTCCTTAAGGTTCTTACATATCGGAATTTAATGCCGCGTTCAGACTTAACGCGTCGCGCTTACAGTGGACCCAAATCTCAAGTATGGACGTGGTACACGGTAGGCGTGCATCAAATTCGGTGCTTTCCATTGTTTGTCGGTTTTTCGACGGCAGATCAAAGTAAATCACTACACTGCGGGGACGAGTTTATCTTTTGATAGGCCGTACCTGTGTTAATTTACGATCCAACCATGCAGTAGGACGAATAAGTCGGCTGGCCTGAATAAAATTTTATGAATCCCCTCATAATACTTAAAACCAAAAGATAATGGTAGATACATATCTATAGACTAATATAGCAAACTCCAGTTGCTAAAAAGCTCAAAGTTGTTTTTGATATTAGCGGTGCAAGTTTCTGAACGATGTTTTCAAAATCGAACGGGACAACATAAGTAGAAAGTAATTAACATTAAACACTTTTTACTTTACTTATTATCTTATTGTCTATTATTTACATCAATTAGAAGCCTGGAATTAATAAAAATGGCGGACTGATGCTGTTTGGTGCTATCAGCTGATCCACAGGGGCTTTATTTTCATGCGTCTACGTGAGCACCCCCAGCGAATTTGTGTATTGCAAATTTGTGTGAGCATCTTCTTATCATGCGCAATCACAGAACTGACTGAATCAAGAGTTTAGCCATGCATTTGTGAATATCGAATTTGTTTCTCATCGATTTTAAGCAATCAGAAATACACAAATTTACCGAGAGTGATTCTGATGATCAGTGAACATTTGTATTGACATAATTTGATGATTGATTTGATGAACGGTTCCCGTATGTACGTAAGGCGGTTTAGCGCCGGTCGTTCACGCAGACGCCCCACAAGGACACGAAAATAGACACGAAATAGCATCGGATTCGCGCGCGTTGAGTCTGCCTGAGTAGACCAAAAAATCCTTTTTTCTAATAATATAATTTTACGAAAACTTACCTTTTTAGTTTGCCTTCTGATCGCCTGTCTATAGTCGCTTAAGGATGCCATTACAGTAACGGAGGAAACAGATTATAATCATCACACACAACATCGGGAAAAGTATCGGAGTATCCTCGATATTCTTGCATTATTTCCTCCATGAAGCCCTTTTTGCTTTTTTATATGGCGTTACAATACGTCGTCAGGGATGTTTTGTATTCACCCCAGAAGGCCTCGTTTCGTCTAGCTGTAGCTAGCCGCACGTAGACGCATGAAAATAAGGCTCAGGCCGTCAAGATGCAGATCTGCCAAGAAATGCGCAGAAACCAATCTGCATTGAAACCTGTTCCCAGTCCCGCGCATCTAAAAGAATGTGTCCAAAAATTACTATTCAGTCTCGCTTTTTCTTCTCTGGTATACTCTCAATAAATGATGAAAAAAATGTAAATAACAGGATATCAGCAAACATCTCGTTTCCATAATACAGGGGATTAAAGAGATCGGTATTAGCCGCCCAGATCATGCGATTTTTAAATTTATAAGTTGATGTGAATAAACCCACAACGGTTAAAGCCTAAAACCTCACTAGGCGAAATTTAACGGTATCTCACTGAAATGCCGTAAAATTATACGTAAGTTTTTGAAACTTTTATGAAAAGTGCATATTTGTGCCAGCATAGCCGGCACTACCCGCGGCGGCTATTTCTTGTCCGATATCTTATTTCATTCATAAGCTCTTGATCTGCACTCCATTAATCAATTTCGTATGATTAATCAATACGCGTTTCAAACGTATTACTGTTAAATAAAACCGCACACGCTTCCAAATTAATGCATTTATTAAAAAAAAACTCAAACCAAAACTTAACATGTATTTGACGAAGCTGAGCTAGTTGCCAGTGAGGCGTTCTCCGAAACAACTCTTTTCTTGCCGTGATCGGATAAGACTCTACTGCCCCACAGCCAGCTGCCTGGGTGCAAGTCGAATACAAAAAAAGATTACGAACTAAAGGTGACATTTCTAAATTGAAACTAAGGATTTACGCAGATCCAGCACTCCCACTTAATTAGAAGTCTGCCGAATATTCAAACGTTTGCGCAAATAACAAAACTGCTGTTTAGGTAGAGGTTTTGTAAAAATATCGGTCAGCTGTACATTTGTTTCAACATACTTAATGTCTATTTGGTCGCACTGGTTTCCCTCATTTTTCGGCCTCTGGGCTTGACATGGCTTCTCGGTAAGTCATTGGCACAGCGTGTGCTATATGTGCAACCTGGATTTCCATATCTGTTAATCAGATTAAGCTGCTCTTTGTTGCGCAGTTGCCTATCTAGTTGCTGTTGGTTGTCGAGGCGCTGATTTTCTTGTTGTTTTGCTCGGGAGGAGGAAAATTAGTTAGTGCATTGTGAGGGCAATAATACCAATATTTGTTGATGATCATCTTCATGTTGGGCGTCTTGAATTTCTCGTTTTTCTTCCATCCCAAAGTCAAACAACGTTATTCACTACGCGCATATTTATATGTCCTAGTTTGTCATGCCAAGATTTTAGCACGTTAATCTGCGTGTTATCTTTCGACTCAGTGAGGTTCCACTTCTCTGAAACTTCAACTTTAACAGCATTTTGAATAACTCTCACCGCGTGCTACCACTTTTCAGCTAGTTTTAGAGGTGTAGAACAAGAATCCTTGATCGTTAATCGTTGGAATCGAAAACAAATGTATTTTCTGTTCCGGCACTAGTACATTCTGCATTTCCTGAGTGATTATTTTTTTGCTCTTCAATAATCAACATGCCGATGCCTGCCATGCGCAACATCTTATCGTCAGCAATTTTTACATAGTGTGTGTCATTTGTTGCATCAAGAGTCCTAAAGAAATAATTCAATCACAGGGGTTCTAAACTTGTATTCCCCCATTTTCAAGGGATTGTATGGTTTCAACTCTGTGGTCGTCCCCTTAGCCATTGCGTGATCACTTTCATTCGTCGGGTCATCGTGAACTGATTACATCGTCGTCTTGCTGTTTGTTTCCCCGCAGTGTTTGTGGGTTGGGTATGAGAATTGTTGCTTGTTTGTTTGGTTTTCCAGTGAGCAAATTTTTCCAAAAACTAGATCCTCTCCATTACCGGCATGCGGCGGAAGTGAAGCACCGTGGCATGGCACAATTTACGATAAAATTAGGAATTGTGATTGAAGTTGTGTATTTATAAAATGGTTCAACTCAGACACATTTCCTACACACTGCCGCAAATATATTCGCCACAAACCCTACTTTATTATTTATTAATAAATCGCACCAATCTCGGTTGTTATTGTATTTTGATAGTATGTGACAGTTTGGAAGATAGTGAATGTATGTTCTATAAAATTAAGCGAGTATAATAATTAATACTTGTTTGCATCTTGACCAAACTCGATTTCAATTGCGGCGAAAGCTTTTCCGTGCAGTTTTTCTTCGTACTCATAATATCCTAAACAGCCTCAAAAATATATTGTGCATGAATAGCATTTTTGGAAAATAAATTAAAAAAAAACCAATCAAATTAAACATGGCACCATGTTTTAGTCAGTTATAGTTGATATCAATTTAGTGTGAAATAGGAAAATTTTCAATATTTTTTTGTAAATGCAGATTACATGTTTCAAGTGTGAAGTACTGAAAATGATAAATAATGAGAAAAATGGCCGCTGCACGCAAGATTCTCTATAATCATGCTTTATGTGAACATGGAAACTGTGAAACAAAAATTCTTATTTGCACCACAAAATTCCTACATTGCGTTAAAATTGAACACCGAGTGATCGCATTTGTCGCGGCCGATGGTTCAGCTAACATGCGCAAGTTGGTTTGATGTTATGTTAATAAAAACAAACTTCTGTCTTCATCACAGAACAAACCCACTCACTAAATAACTAAAATATCTGCTCACAAGGGGAAGTTTATAGTCTTTATCTATGAGGAGGATGTTCTGTCGTCTTCATCTAGGAAAACAAACGTTTAATGGCGTTATTGCTTTGTAATTGGTGTTTATATTTAAACTACAAAGTCTTATGGCTGTAAAAGTTCAGGGAAGTCGAGTACAAGAAAAGGTTACAAACTAAAAGTGACATATTTCCAAATTAATGATTTACGCAGAAATCCAACAGTTTGATTTAAAACTGGAATACGGCATTCTTATTCGCCCCACTTCGCTCAACTACACGTAAATGATCCGATGTAAATTCAATAAGGAATGGCTTCAACTTGGAAAAAATCAACAATTTCTAAAAAATTGATTGGACCCAGAATTTTTTAAAGATTTTGTTCTCGCGACGCGAACAATGGAGGGTTAAATTTAAGCAAATTAATTTTTGTCAAATTGATGATTAGATAGATTCATTGGCATTCAGCCTTTATTCTGTATAATGTCTAATTCCCACTGTACATCATTCTTTGTCAAAGTGATGCGTTAAACCTAATCACCTTTGGAAAATGAATGAACTTTATTGGAAGATAAATTCAACAGATTTTTTTGTTTCAGCCTGGGAAAGCGTATTAAGTCAACAAATTGTTTATTATTCAGACAGTTTATAAGAAAAACACTTCAGGGGATACCAAATAAATAGTGAAAAGTGAGATTTATTGACAATATAGTGCTTATATACTATTTACGATTTGAATGCAAAGATACTTTTAATGTCGTTATTTATTGAAACGAGATAAAATAATCGAGTATAATTATGAAATACTAGTCAAGAATAAAAGAACTGATCAGTCGTATTGTAAATGTTGCGAGAAATGAAAGCGTTATTTTTTTCTTAAGAAAAGCAGTGCTGTAACTTTATTTGTAAGTTGGAATATATTATAGAAGGTACTGTGAATTGACTTATCCGTGAGTGAAAGTGTACCGTTCAATACTTGAGACCCTGTTCAAATCTGTAGTTTTAATTGCAGAGCCGATGGCACGAACACTTGCAATATTGTCATATAGCTAACGCATATGGCCCCAATGTGCATCCGCATAAATTCAGCATTTTGGGGCCTAAGCAATGTAATAATGGTTTCTTTGTATCGTGAAGTACATGATTACCTGATTTTTTTCATCAAATTGATTGAGTTGGTTATTTTTTAGGAAGCTTTATCTAAGTTGTTCTAGCAGGTGTTTATTTCGTCCAGCAATAACTTAACGGTTCCAATGTATTTATATTCTCAAGAAAACATCTAATACTATTAATGAATATACTTTTTTTAAGCGGATAATTGTGACAGTTCGATAAATTTAATTTTATTCCAAGTAAATGTATATGATTAAGAGTTTCATGTGAAATACGTTGTTATTAGTAACATTTTTATTTTCCACATCAGGTATTCAAAATAACATGCGAAAAACTACATTTCAAAATATGCAAAGAAATAATTACTATCTATTTTCAGTTTCAATGAGGATACTTTTGTGTACGAGCTTACCAATATGTGTTAGATTTGTTTTATATTTTATTTGCATTTTCAATCCTTCACTTCAAAGATTTTGATATTTAACATATTCAGTGAATTAAATAATGTCTCTGTGACTGAGAAACTTGTTTACAAATTATATTTCTTAAAACGAATGTGTCCAAAGCAAGCATATTTTTGTGATAAATAATGCGGAAGTTATTGTGCTTTAGCAACGTAATAATAGAAATGTTTTCTATGGAAGGTATGTTTTGTTGTTATTTTGTATAAAACATAATTAAATTTCGCAAAAACATGTATTAATAATACAAAAAATATGTGTAAACTACTAATAAAATATGTGTAAATTAGGTATTATATTTAGAATATGGTTAATCTACGACCCTGAGGTGTTTTTAACATCTTTACGTTCCTTTCAATAATTACATTTTTCAGCTGGTATTCATGTTTTTTAGTGCAAAATATCGTTTTAAAACATTTAAAATCAAACTATATGGACTGCACCGCAAGAAATGCTTATTAGTAGATTTGTTGACTTTAATTCTTGTCAAATCTTCTTGATTTTGGGTTGTTGGGTATCATTGTTAGAATGCTACCGAGTTTCAAGGTCGCAGTGCATTGTCACACCTAGACCTACAATATACAATCTGTGTTCTTCATTTATAAACCCAAATTGTGATAATACAAATATTCACTTTATTAGAAGAAATAGCATTCTAAAAGTAAAAATGTTGGAAATTGAAAATAATATCAAATCCAGTTACATTCACTCTTCACAAGAATGTTTATTTTGTTTTTATTTAATATCAAGTCGTTTGTCAATAATAATAACTCCTAAGAAATTGAAAGTAGTAAATTAGACCTGAACAATGTGTCCGGATGCAGTCCTTACCCGGTTTGGCATGGATGAACTGTCTGTAATGTCCTAATTAAAAGTTTGGAACGTTTTGATAGTTCATCCCATAAGTAATAGACAGTACTATTTAGCAAAGGGCAGTAATTGCCTTTAAATTTTAAAACTATTTTTGTGCTCAAGTTCATAAAATCAAGTGATTTTCAAAGTATGACTTGCGAATATCTTCATTCTAAACTTACTCCAAATCCGTATTACTTTAAATCCGTTTTTATCATGTTTTTATGGTGCAAAGTTTTTAATGAAACTTTAAAACAGTTGCTTAATACTCTGCTTATATCATGTAATTACAGGCTAAGCTTTAAAAGCATTTTTGTCACCTAGTTTGCCATTATCCAATTGAATACTTATTACCAGAAAAGACAACAATATGCGCGTTCAAAAATAGTTCAGAGACACTTGTTATGGATAACGGAAAATAAAATAATCGGAATCTAATCCATATTGGCGAATGGAAGAAACATTAGTATCACGCAGCTTGGGATACAAGATTAAATATACAGGGTGACACAAAACTTCGGAGACTACTTTTTCTTAAATTTCAGTTTTTTATTTTTAATAATCACGTTTTTATTCAACATAAAGATTATACATATTCCAAAGCCAACAAAATACATATTCTACTATTCCAAATGGTCACCTTCAGCCGACCTACAGGCCTGCAGACGCTTGTGGAAATTTTTGACTATGGTAGCAAGTGTTTTTCTGAGATTTCTGAGTTGAGTCCCACGCCTTCAGGGACTCAACGGTGTTGTAGTTTGTAGCGCAGATCTTTTTCTCTATAATCGACCAAATTGCGAACTCTATCGGATTCAGGTCGGGTGAGTTGGACGGCCACAAAGTCATGTCCCTTACGGGGATTTTGCTGGTCTTGCAAAAAGCCATGGTCGATCTCACAGAATGAGCCGGCGCCCAATCCACCGCACTTGTCGAACACCAGCGGCGTCTTTCCGTTTTTCGATATTCCCGCCCACACTAAGACAGATTTTGCAAAGTGGAGTCGCTTATCGAAATAATTCGCAGTTATGCGACCCACAATAATTCTTTTCGAGGAGTCCTACTCGCTTCATTCGCTGACCCATGTAATGACCGCTTCCGAGCTTGTAGCTCCGAAGCTTTAGGCCTTTCCGGGCCATTTATCTGACCACCTCTCTGTTAATATCCACCTCCTTGGCCAGTTTTCCTATGGAATTTCCAGGATTCCGGCGAATCGACACCTCAGCTTGTTTAGGTTCTCCGGGGTCGTTGCGGTGGTCGGTCTTCCGCTTGGATCCCTGTCGTGTCAACTGCTCATACCCTTTAATGGTTTTATAGATTGTGCTTCTTGGAGTACGGAGGAGTTCCGTGATGTCAGCCGGCGACTTTCCCGATTCGAACAGTTTTACGACGGCAACACGGTGTGTTTCACGGTTCATGGCGAAAAACGTGAAAACAATTTTACACGGGAAAGAAACGCTGTTTGTAGATAATTGAACACGTTCCAAAATAAGTTAGCAGTCCACAATGTCAAAAATACGATTAACATTTAAATTTACGAAATTTGTTTCAGAACTTTTGTGTCACCCTGTAATAGTTAAAGAGTTGTGGTACATTTACCTGTCATTTTAAAGTGGATTATTTGTAAATCAGCATCGTAAGGGCAAGACAGGCATTAAAGTAAATGGACCATTTTTTATCGGGATTTCTCCAGGCTTTTAAAAACCATAACGAATAATAATAAACCTCAAGCTCGTAGATGCCTAATCATAAACGGGAAAGCGTTTTTAATTATAATAGAATTGTGTACCGGCAATATACGATTTCCAAATTGAAAATGTAAAGAGAACGTTCTTTTGTTGGTAACTTCTCCTCAGACTTACCAGATATATTTTATTCATTCGAAAGTTGTATTTATTTTTTAATGTAACAGGGTATTTTTAAACGAATTGTGCTGATTTATTTGTACATGTATTTTGGAGTTGAGGAGCAAGTCACGAGTCGGTTTTTCTACGGGGTGTTAATGATAATAATGAATAATACTAATTATTCTGCTTCTGCAAGTTCATGGTCATTGACACCCATTATTATCATGTAAAATAGAGTTGTATAAACACAAGGGAATCAAGAGCTATCATAATTTAAGTTAATTAAGTTGAACTATCATTGCGTGTTGTTGAATATAATATATATGTGATAATTTTATAGGGTAACAAATTTCTCTCGCACATTGGTTTACTGGAATTTGGTTCCGAAAATAGTGAACAATATTTTTTTGTCTATCGTGATGTTCCTAAGTTTTTCATTTGCAATCAATCTTGTAGGAATGTAAATATCTAATAGGAATTAAATTTCGGTAAGTCAGTTAAGTCGGTTGATGCAAGGTCAGGCGTTGATTATAGAACATATTGGAAAACTAACTATCAAAAAATTAACCAACGAATACGGATTTCAATTATGAACAAGGGACAAATTATGATTTCAACAATCACAGTTATTCATTAATCAATGCCAACGCCCTTTATATAAATAGATGAAACATGCTGCAACATCGACTGATATCGGAAAAGTGATTGCTTATGTGCTGATGTTGACATCTAGATACATGCAAATTTCGAATTGTACCTATCAACGATCTGGTATTTCTGTCTTTCATATATACCTATTACTAAGTGTACCGTATACTTAGTAAGGCAGATTTATCGTTATTCGAAATTTCTTAGATATATTCTTGTAGCTAATGTATTGTTTACAATTATTTGCATTGTTTGGATATATTCAACAAAAAAGAGAGACCAATTATTGAATATTATTGGTTGTTGTTGATAAACTATTTATCTTGCCTGCAATATTCAATAGTGATCAGTCCATAGTTTTGTTCACCATAGATAGAAAAATATAAGCAAATACTTAGCATCAGATTATCTGGTAAACAAATATATGGTGGTATTTCTTAGATGATGACAAATACGTATTGTTCTGTACGGGTACCGTGAATAAGTAGAGCCGAGAAGGAGCAATGCGCTGATTATGCTTAAACGGCAATTAAATTTGGCTATAAAATATTGCCAAGTTAAATTAAGTAGCATGAATATACAGGGTGTCAGAAAATGATGCGTAAAAAATCCAGGGGTTTTGTGGGGTTAATTTTTAATACCATTTTATTACATATTTAGGTTGCAGTTTTTAAATTTGAAATATTTGCTGCAAATGTTGCCCAGTATGAATTGAATTATTTTTAGAAATTTTCGAAAACTGCTTAAGGACTTCAGAAATTCATTTGTCGGATTTACACTTTTGCGATTTTTTGCATTATTTTCGGACACTTTATATTGTTTATTAAATATCCTCTTACTGTATCCAATCAGAACTGTTCCTATTGTTATTAGCTTTTGTAGAATTCAATATAATAGTAATTTTCTCTACATAATTCTATTCGAGAACTACTGCCATATTTGAAATAAAAACGTTTTTTTATCAATGGTGGTTTAAGTTCAAACTTTTGCTATAACATTAGATAGTTGGTATCGGTAAATAAATTTTGTATTGTAAAATGAGCACAAAATGGATCATCTACCATGAACATAAAATCAGAACCAATAGACGTTGGGTTAGTTGATTATTCAAACCGCCTACACATTTATATAATTGAATAACTGCGAACTTATTTAATTTAAATTAACTATTTTTTAGTAATTGTCTTGACCCAAACCAAGACAAATTTTAAGTAATTGTCTTGACCCGAACAGAATATTTAACATTCATTCTGGTAAAACGTTATCAAGATTTTATGATCAATTAAGCTTCTAAGCCGATTTATACAGTGTATAACAATGATTAAGGTTCACCCACTTTTTTGGCCTTAAACAAGTACTAAACCAAATGAGCTCCTATTTTTAAGAAATACGGTACATATGACCCGCAAACTTGCAGCAAAATGTGATTTAGAAAACTTTTCTTTCAAACACATAATAATTTATTTTTCAAATGTACGGATTTTCAGACCGTAACAATGATTTAGGTTCACTTGTAAAAATCGTAATAGTCATTTACGTAACCAGTAGGATATTAATATTATTTACGTGAAATAAAGCGAAAATTTGCACTATTGTGTAATCACATAAGTGCGTTAATAATATAATATCCTACGTGTTACGTACAATATTTTATCTACAACTATAACAATTATTATTTTAAGGATTATTTGAGTAAAAATAATTAGTTTTAAAATTGAATACAGAACCCAGGTAATGAAATGTTGTCATTAACATCAGAATCATTGGCAAAGTTGTGACTTAAAATTACACAAATCTGTGTTTGAAAGAAAAGCAAGCTAAATCACATTTCGCTGCAAGTTTACTGGTCATATGTACCGTATTTCCTAAAAAGATGAACTCATTTGGTTTGGTAGTTTTTGAGTTAAGGCCAAGAAAAACCTAATTCATTGTTATACACTGTATAAATATACATAATGAACTTCTATTATACAGTGTGGTTGATTTCAACAGAACCAGTTAGATATCTCGTAGATTACAGCAAATACAAGAAAATGTGTATATAGTCGGGTAACTGCAGGGGGAAATCCGAAGATATTATTTTTTTGTGTTCAAAATCGCCTCCCAATACTGCAATCAACCCAAAGACATTAAAATCTTAATCTAAGGTTCAACTACTCATTCAAAATGTCGTATTTAGTTGTATTTTCAGAGATGGGGATGGGAGTTCGGGAATAGTGAGGGTGATTTGTTCTAATCACGTTATTTTAACATCCACATAGTTTACCACATATAGACCATCTACTTTCTTTCGCATTTTGTTGTAAAAAATATATCAATTTATTAAAAAGTTGTTTTCAAGTTGAAATTGAAATTGAAGTTGTCCCCATCAGGGCCCGGGCATTAGTATCACATCATTTTGGTATAACATTAGATTTCTCCTCTACAACTACACACCATTTATATAACACGTTTTCTTGTATTTCATATCATGTTTGACTGGTTCTTCCAATATGATCCACTCTGTATATTTACATCATCACTGATATCATAGTCATCTTAAATGTTTGGAAACTGCAGTGTTTTTCCCAATTACAGGAATAAATCTATTCAATAATTAAGGAAGGGAATAGATGAAAACCCGCGATTACTAAGAATCAGGCACTAAAGAATACAAATTAAGAAAACATGAAATAAGGAACTAACCCAATTAAGAAAAGTAGTTATCATCAAAATAATAGTGTAAAGTATGTATAAATAGAAAGTAAGAAATAGAAAAAGAAAGGCTAAAAACCAACGTTTAGTTTTTTAAGACGGCTAGTTGTTTTTCAAGTTAGGCGATTTTCAATCTAGGTTTTTATACGGAATAATTAAATTTTGACAGTAATTGTTCGCCATTAAAAAGTTTCTGTCTAATGAGCAAAGCAGAATAGCCGAACAATGTGCTAAAATTCAGCCTGAAATCTAGTCTGTTCGTCGACGTGCGCGTTTTTGATAATAGGACAGATAACTGAAATTCGTACAGTGGATTAAAATGTAGAATTAAAGTAAATTTTTAAGATATTTGTTATGTTTTTGTTTTCCAGTTTCTATCGTCTGCTTTGAAAGGGACATATTATTGTTTCACTGTACACTTTGATCGTTTTAAAATTTCTAATTTGATACTGCCGATATTGAACACAATAATTATATTACATTGTTTTCTTAGCAATAATGTGCCCAGAAAAGGCCATATTTCACTAGATCTCTTTTGTTTCTTTAAATCATTTGTAATGGTTTTCACTCTCATAAACTTTCTGTCATACAGTGCGTTTGCGTTTACTGTGTATGCAATTAATCTTTCCTGAGGGTTTATTTTAAATCGAATCATGCTTAATTTGCAAACCGTAGCAGTAGTTGCGTGGCAAGTAAACCAAACATCCTGTATTTTAATACTGTACCGCTGAAAATTTATGCAAGTGAGTTATATAATTTCATTAAAAATGGCTTCGATCTATTAGTATAATTACAACATTGTTATCATTTTTTCCAAAACCGATGTTAACTTTGCTTTATGTAAAATAAAGAAATAAATGGTTATTTATTCTATTATCAATTTGTTGTAGAATTGCGGGAATTTGTTATTACATACAAAGTACAGTAACTAAAATCAATAAAACAATATGATTTTATACAATTTGTAAAAATCTTTTGAACCCATAACAAATTCTATGCAGGGTGTCCTGTCAGCACAAGATCAATAGGCTCAAATGAATATCATTTCACCTAAACTTTTATTAACAAAAAATGTCCGGCTCCTCTTCTATTGATGGTCAAAGTTATTTAATTCGTCAAAGGATTTTAATGAAACATGAATTTAGCTATGAATTTGTTCCCCTGTAAGACTCATATTTTGATCAAGCAACCGAGTTCATCCGCTTTGACCAAGTGAGGAA